GAAATGCATTAAAAAATCATATCATAATTTCGAGGTGTTTCATATAACACTCTTTTTAGCGAGAGGAAAAGGAATATTGAAAAATGATCCAACCCACCCTCTTTGTTGTCTCAAACGAAACTTAATCAAACTTTAATTTGGTTGATAATATAAACAGCAAAGTTCGCGGGAAGATAGGTAAACGGCGAAGTCGTTAGGGGGAACGAGTTTTAATCCCGGGAGACTATTGGTGCTGTTTAATCACGTCTAAATATGCGCGGTGGAAAAAAATACAGCGCGGAGGTATCACGCGGCTTTATTGTCATTCATGGCAGGCGATGCTACCTCCCCACAGGCAGTGGAGCTAGGGTTACCAACCTTTTTTGTATCAAATATAGTATTTTCGAAGCTGTTAACGCTTAACATATAGAAGATGGCAAAAAAAAAATATAGTATCAGGTTAAAATATTTATTTTGCTTTAATTTTGAAATGACTATGTGTTTGCTGCTCTATGCCTTAATAGGGTCAGTTCACCTGTTCGCGTCCATTTAGCAGTTGGAAAGTTTGAGGGCGATAATAAAAATATCCCAGCACTAAATTCTATGAAAAAATTATGTAATGTGTTCATTATTTAGTCTATTTTAAGATTAACTTTCAGTTTTGTTCGAAACATCTATTGTTTTTTATTTAAATAGATAAACTTCGGAATCAGGCGTTTTACCCACTTTGCGTCCACAAAATCCTAATTGCGTCCACCCGTGGACCATTTAGCGTCCACCACCTTAGAAAAGGAATATAGGCGTGATATTTTTAAGAATTTGTATAGAAAGATTGTACCTATTTTAACAATTTCTTTATTTTAGAATATAAATATTAAAACCAACATTATTATCATTAAAATTATCACTTTAAAAAAATATTCTTCTCAATATTGATTGAATTTAAAATTATATAAGTAGTAGGTAAATAATGATTGCATCCTTAAGAATAAACAGTAATCAGTTCTGTTAATTTTACAAGGTATGTTTTTCTCATCGTCGTCTTCTACATCTGAAATTAGTATATCGTCACATTCAGAAAATTTTCTTTCTTAAATTCCTGATTTACCGTTTCCTGTGTGACTTCTTGAAGAGCATGTATCTTCTTCTTTCGTTTTGGAGCAGTTTTACAAACCGTTTGAGAGTGTTTTAAACTCTGTTCTTGTTTCTCTAGTCGTTCTAACTTTCTTTTTCGTATTGCTTCCTGCTTTTCGTTCTTGATCTGCTCTTTATCTTCTTAATACTAACTCCATGCAGCAGAAGATATGGTTTCTAGAGTTCTTTGATTATCTTTTTGTGCTTTGTTAGAAATTTCGGGTAGCATCAAGTGGTGTCTGGTCCCGGTTTCTTTACTTTATTTGATCTGCGCCCACTGATTTTGTACAGTATGTCTATGTGTCTTACCAATTAATTATTTTTTCGAATTTCGCTTTCTTTAAATCGTCTTCTGTGTATATTCTCTTTTCCTTCTACTTTCTTGTCTTCGAAGAACTCATCTCAAATAGAAAAAATATAAGATTGAAACAAATAAAGTATTTGATTGATTGATTGTAATTACTCATTTCATTTAAAAATAGCATTAAAAACACGCAGTCTTAATAATAATGTATAATAATAATAATCAATACCTATATTTTGAATTAAAATTAATTAATTGTATTTAACGAAAATAGTGGACGCAATTTGGTTTATTACTATCCCCTGTAGGTATAGTTTGCGTCCATTGCGGACGCAAATTGGAAGTTTTGTAATTTCGATGTAGTAATTCGCGTCCACCTTATTTTATTCATTAAATATAAAAAACATAAGAAAATTTATAATTAATATCATTCCTTTCTTCTCTATAAAAGTCTAGAAACAGATATGTATGCTAAAATTAACATAAAAAATAAAAAAACTTACCATCGAACGCGCCGCTGCACACTATTTTTTATGTAAACATCCCGCATGTACGCACTCCCTTGATGGATAACCGAGACTAATTATTTTTTTTAAACGGGATTGTTTGGCGCACCTACCTTTTGACTATGTGTTCGTGTCTCTTATATATTAAGGTATTAGCGGTAATTACTTTTCGTCTGATTAGTGTGTTAGTTTACTTATTTTTGAGGATTTTTTAAGGGAGATCCGTAAAATGGACGCGAATTGGGCGATGGACGCGAACAGGCGAACTGACCCTATTTTTTTTTTAAGAAAACTTTTAGTGATAAAAGTCTACTTTAAGCAAAATATATATAGTAGTTTCGCCTACTTTATTTTTTTTAGAAATATAGTATACGATCCTCTAATATAGTAGGATACTATATTATATAGTAGGGTTGGTAACTCTAAGTGGAGCGGATAGGGCTGCCACGTGACGCCTTTTTATTATTTTTCATCATATTTTTTTTGATAGACAATCTTAGGTATGTACGTGCATTTGCTAATCAATTTTCTCTATTGCCGGCACTTTACATGGCTATTTGTAAACATGATAACAGTCTCTCCTTTTTGCTCCCCATAGAGTATGAAAGGCCAACCTACCGTCAAAATGACAAATAGCAGATGCGAATAACCATGTAAATTGTCGGCATATAATAAACAAGATTTTCACTTCTTTAACTCAACAAAATTATACTTACCTAACAGGCGCGGAGAGGTCAGGGATGCCACGTGAAGTTGTCTTATTAATAAAAACATTTTTTATAGACTGTCTAGGTAGGAATGTTCAATTTCCAAACAACCTTTTCGATGGTAAACAAGATCTTGACTTATCTGATCTACTTGAACACACACAATTTTACCATAAAGATGTTTTATTTGTAGCAATCATAAATTATTACAATCGATCTTTTTTACCAGATGTGTTGTGGTATACTGAGTTGGAATTGAAATGTTAAACCGTCGTCAATTTGTCGCAGTATAATACTTCTAATAATTGTCGCAGATAGATCAATCACGTATACAGTGAATGCTTTTCACTGTTACTATAGGTAATGGTATAATTAATTTAAAGCTAATAATAAAACGAAACTATGATCATTTCCTTTCTTCAAAGATTAAATCAAACAAAAAACTATGATTTTTTTACTCTAAACCCAGCCCCCATAGTATGAGCACCGCGATGTGACGTTTTTGTCTCACTTGGTTTTTTTTTTTACGTTTTTATCACGCTTAATTGTCAAATTATTATGGAGTTTGACAGTTAGAAGCGATAAAAAACGTGATATAATCTAAATTGTGGTGCTCATGCTACGGGCACAGGTATATTACGAATGTCACGAAAAACTCTTTAGATTTTTAAATCTAAAGAAAAGTTTACTAGAAAAAATCCACGCGGACCATGGTCAGTGCATTCGCCCGGATTGCGAAGGATGCGGGTTCGAGTCCCGTCCGCTGCCTGGTACGCGTGGATTTTTTCTAGTAAACTTTTCTTTAGATTTAAACATCTAGCAGTTAAATGCTTAAAAATAAATAAAATCATAACTCTTTAGATTTATTTTGGATGCCAGTTTGTTGAACGTAGGTTGAAGAGCCTGGAGTTCTCGAAGTGGGGTCGAACCGAGAGGGTTACCACTCGTTACAATATAATTTGTCACATTACACTGACCACAAACATTTCTGTAAAAACGGTAAAAAAAGTTTTATAATCAAAAAAGAATTTGTTGATATAAGATATACTTAAACAACAAGATGTCGGCTAGTCCAAGTTGGTTTTTTCTTGATATGCGGCTAATAAATTGAGCAAGCATGATTTACGGTAGATAAGTTCAAGATATTCAGGTCAAGGTAAATGTCCCATATTAAGAAAAACAAATATATAAAATTTTAGACTTAACACATAATTTTAGATTTTACTACTTTCAGACATTCTGAAACATAGCAGTGGTCTTACTTAATAAGTATATCGTTATGCCACACAGCGCTCCCCTCACGTGCTGATTCAATTACAGTCTAGATCTAGAGATACAAAAAGTCATAAAAGTTATGTATGTTATGCACTGAGAAGATCTTCCTTTAAAACTAATTCGTATTAAAACCTCTCTGCAAAAAAGCACTCGCAGCTAAGTGGCGCTCGCCACCTTTTGACACACAATAAATCACAGCCGTGAGCAGCCAATAAAAAATATGTTCCACCCTCGGCGAAAATCCAATTAATTTTCGGCGGCAAAAAAAAGTGCCCCGCCGAGCGGAAAAAGCTCTGCGAGTCATTGACGCAAGCGACAAGCAATAGCGGGCGCGAGATCCGTTACCTTCACATTATAATTGCGTTTAACTCGACGATATATAATAGGAAGCGCGGGAAAAGTGGAAAAAAGGGGAATAATGGAGAAGGAGTAATCAATTTCGCTCAGTCGCCGCCAACGGCGATGCTCTCATTTAAAATTTAAAATAACGCGGCGCGGAGGGGCCTCGTGGAGGACTCTTTAATTTGGCTCGGCTTCGGTTTAAAAATGCACGAAGCTTCGCGGTGACACATCAATTCACTTTGACTGTCGCTACGTCGCTTTTTAAGTAGTTCCCCTAAACAGCGACTGTGAAACGAAAACTACCATTTTGACTAATGGTGCTTTTCCGATCTCATCTGCAGGCTGCACTTGCAAGCTGCTGCTGCAGCGCGTTTCGGAATGTATTTCATACAAATGCATATAAAACTAAAGAAGTAGTGCAACGGCAGCCGGGCTGCGAGATCTGAAAAGAACCTTAATACGATGTAATGAAAAGGAAACATTTGAGGAATAGAATTAAAATGTCTTAAAGTTTTATTCTTTTTTCTGGACATTTCTTTAAACCTAAACTTAAATTTGACAACAGTGCATCCTTGTCATTCTCTATACAGAATGAAAAGGAGAGACTGATGTAAAATTTAGTTTTAAGTTTAGAGAATCATGTCAGAATCTACACCAATGAGGATTACAAAAACGAAACTTATTTAATTTTTGGTTTAAGAGCTGGTTGTTAGAAATAAGTAGGTACTTATTGGATTTTGTATATTTTTACAGCAACAAAGGCCAGACCTGCCCAGATTACTGCAGCAGATGCACGCAGCGCACTTGCCAGCGCACGGCGCGCCTCCGCTGCCCCTGCTGGGCCAGGGCGCCCTTCCTCCAGCGGGCCTCCTAGGCCTTGGTGTGCCTCATCATCCCCTCTCAGTACTAGCAAAACCTCCCGACCTTCACCGGCCAGATGATAAAGGAAATGGTGAGCTGCAGTTGTCAAATATCTATCATAAACAGAAAAAATCAAATCTGATAAATAAATAAATCATTCTGAGTGAGATATAACGGTTCGATACATAGAATGAATATTTTAAGAGCTGTCTGTTTGTATGCTCGCGTTGTTTGCTGTGTGCCACTGGAGACTATTAGTGCCCCCCGGCCCGCCCGCCACCCGCCGCGGCGAGCGAGGCAGACGTCTCCGATCCCACTTCTGTTTCAATATTTACCAGCTTCGAGAGGCTTTTTGAACTTACTGTTTGCGTGTTTTCGGATCGCTGACGGCTACGGTGAACCCGATATTGCTTTGAGAGTATGAATAAGTCACTTCTCCGAATTGGTGTCTATCTATACATGTGCTTAGACAGAATATGTAAACAGATGTGGAACAGATTGGGTAAAAATATTATTGTGCTTACCTACTTCAAAGCCAGCCACTCGAATCGAAAGTTGTGAACACGCATTTCGGCGTTCGTATTAAACCTTTGCAGGGTGGAATTCATGACAAACATCAGGGGAGCGGGATTTCAGTTTTCCGTGAAGCGCGAGTAATCCCGGCGCGGCGGGGACGAGCGCGCCACAAATGAAAATGTAACACAGAAATGGATTTGGAAGCCGCCCGTCGCTCCGGTTAATTACAAAAGCAAGCGGTAATCTGCGCTCCGGGATGTTCCGGCTTAGCGCCCCCCCCCGTTCCGCTCCCTCGAACCCAGTTCCTCCTGCTACTTCCCTGGCTAATTTGTGCCATTATCGGTGTACTGATGTAAGAGTTACCGCGCAGATGGCCCCCTCCCTACCTTACCCTCACCTTGCCCGCGCTCAATTAATTATTCCTTGCTGGTGTGAGCGTCGCGTGTTTTAGTCAATTAGTAACGTAATTTTGCGGGTGACTTGAGCGTACGCGGTCGCGGACCGACAAGCGCGTGTTTTATACACGCTAAATAATAGATGTTAATACATATTTCAAAGAACATCGGTTATCGCGTTATGATTTATGCAAGTATTAGTTTTATGCAAATTAGTTTAGATGCCGGGTCCGATTCCCGCATGATGTAATTTATCAACGATACAATTTCGTACTTAATTTGAGTTAGAATTTTATTATGCGCAACCTTATGCACAAATATTCTCAAAAAATAATACAGGTTGAATAAAATGGTCTGGTCTTCGAGAGTATATATTGCATTTAAATTAATTGAGCAATTCATGCAAACACGCCCGGTTCGAACTACATAGCAATATGTGTTGAACAGTAATAGTATTGGTCTGGGCAATTGCTCGCAAACTTGCGGCGAATCAGATGCGGTTGATAATGCCTTTGATGTTTACCATCTGCATACGTAACGTCGAAAGCCGCATGTGTAACGGAAGTACAAGTACAACATTGTGCATTGATGATTTGCAAATTAAACATAAATCTCATATGCAAAAGTATTCTGCGTTTTTTACACTTTAGGCTTTCACCCACAAATGGCTTAAATGATTTTGTAATGGAGATAAAGGGGTCCTTGAAGACAGACATAGGGTACTTTTGTCTCTCTATAATTTGAAGGGTATGAAAGTTTGCATGAAGATTAGACGATATTCAGATGAAGGAAGTACGAAACACTGATTGATGTCACGGGCTAATTCTGACCACTACTCTAGGGAACAGCGTAGCGCATGTGGTCGTAAAGCAATTTGCGCGCATCTAACTTCTAAACTTGTAACTGTTTTGTGTAGGTAGCTTCACAAATTGTTAGAAGTTATTAGCACATCCAAATGAAACCCATAATACCGAGTATTAAAATAATGACAATGTGATATACGTATAGTTTCACAAACAAATCTTCATGTAAGATGAAATAATAGTAACTATGTCTCCGTCTTCAAGTTTTATTTTCGAGACAAAAAATAACAGACTCCTAATTGTGCCTACAAAATAAAATTTAAAGTTCATTTCCAAGGTTCAGTTACATCAATGCCAAAACTCGAGAAAATCAAATCAAAATTAGTATGGATTTGCATGATTCGTCCTTCGATGAAAGGAATTCTTCAAATATTGGAAAATACTCAACAAGGATTTAAAATTCCAACGTTTTGGTAGAGAAAATAAATTCTTGAAAGTCTTTATTATGTTTACACTTAAACAATTCATCAGCGTAGTTCAGTTCTCAGTAATGATCTGAATACGTAAAGTTGTGATGCGCTGGGTTCCTATAATAACTAGGAATAGATAGCTCCATCAAATCGGTCGATATGTTCAGGTAGCTTGGAACGGTTAAGGTATTATTATTTTGACAGAAAGATGGTTAAGATATTTCTCAGACCCCACTTTTGCGTGGCTTATTGGGATATGGTAAGTATATCTTTTTACAGGGGTTAGATATCGGGAGCGGAAGTTATTTTTGAACGTGTACATAAGCTTCGAAATTCGTCTCCACATAGCGTAGCGCCTACATAACATAATATTCGAGCCGTATCACTTTGGCGGCGTGGCGTGAGTCGTGATGTGTCGCCGACAGCCTCTACAATATTCATCGGGCTCCATACACCCGGTGGCCTGGCCACCCCTACGTCACACCACCCGCGTCACTGACACGCAGACGTCACTATAGATACGACTTAATCATTCGATGCTAAAGGAGTCGGGTATTCAGTCGTCCTTTTACGATTAATTTGCTCCCGCATGTAATTGTTGGTTAAGCTGATTCTAAAATGCATGAAAGTGGAACTGCCAATACTAGTAATTAACTACGTACCTAAGTCATTGCTAGACGTCTTGGTTTTTACCTCGATTATCTTGCTCATAAGATTCTTTTATGAAAGTTCTTGAGGCCTTAATAATTGAAATTATAGGGTTGTGTTCGTATATTGGGCATCATTTATGAAGGAAGGTGTTCTATCTATAACATTGTTTATGATCTTTTCTTAATGTTTTGTTTCTACACATTTTATACATTAAATTATAATCAAATATAGCCTTCATTGAAAAGTAGTCAGTAACTTTTTGATTATCAGTTAGGTAACCTTATTTTTTAACCAAATATTAATGGTATTTGAATATTTTTGCTTATTTTATTTTAATTCTAAGCATATTTCAGCTAACCATTTTACTTCTGTTGCAGGTATCAGCTCAGCAGAGGAAAGACATGTGAGTATTATTTTCGTATGCATCGATGCTTTTATTAAAGGTTTGGACGGAATTTCCCTTTGAAAAATGAACGAGCGTCACATTGCTTCCATTTGGGAATGCGAAACGTGGAGAGGAGACGAGTGTTGCGCTCGAACACGTTGATTTCATAACACGGCCCTGACTGAAACAAGTGGGTGGTGCAAGTGGCACACCCCGCGCATTAGGGTTGACACTTAGTAAATTACAGTAGGAAACAGCATAATTTTTGAAGGAGCAAATTTATGTATAGGTTATTGAGTATATTATTGATATAAAAATTAAGCATTTTATTGCATTACTATATAAGTATATGATTTAGTGAAGAAGTGAAGGTATACATATATATAAACAAAACTTTAAACCAAGTCCACAGTCCACACAAAGCAAAACTAGAGTAGCTAGCTGCCTCGCTAGGTTGTGACGGAAATATCTTAACATTTTTCGCCTAGCCCCCATCCGCCATACCATCCGAAAAGGAATTTATTTCCAATAACCCAAAGTTACTTTAGCCTAGAATCATAATATTACTCGTAGGCACTAATGCAGGGGATAGGTACTAATGCTAATACAGGGGATTAGATTCAAATAACATTAAGCAGAAAAAAAAACAGTAAATGTTTGATGTTTAAAATTATAAGATTGCAAAATCAGTCTAGAATTCCCGGGTGACGATAGAGAGCCCTGATGTGAAGTGAGCTCGCGACCGAGTGCGTTCGCGAGGTGTTTTGAATGTCGGGTATCGTGCTATAGGGGGTGCTTGGGTGGTGGGTTCCCCCCTTGTTGTGCTCGGATGAACGCAGCGGCGCACCGCACAGATGTGAGCTCGCATCGTACTATACTGTACAGCGCCGTACCGCACTACTCCGCTCCGCCTCGTCGCCGCCTCGCAAAATGCATGCGAATCGATACCGCACCCCGCTGCTTTATAACAGTCTTTGTTGCACTAACCTACTTCAGTTTGAGTGCCAGATGCTCGTTAGAGGAGTAAGAACGTTTCGGGTTTTGCATCCCAAATTGTTTCGCACGTATATAACTACTTACTTGGAGTTTCATTTCTGTTAAGGTTTGAGGAAACAACTTTTATATAGTTAAGCTCGAGTCCTTATTACTATTACATATCTCCATATTAATATTTGTTTGCTAACAAACTATAATATGTTGTGTACTTCAAGCATTTTAAAACAACAACTATTTTCTACATTTACAATCATTATACCATAATTAGCACTCGTAATCGTCTTTAGTCTAATTAGTTCCCCAAATATCCCGAAATGTTCTACTCTTAATAAATGAAACTAAAGATTAATGTATCCCATAAAAGTTCATCATATCTCGTTTTGAGGAAACTCAACTGTAGCAAGAGAGTTCCCAACTTGAGAAGAGCACGTGAAGTTTATCTTGCTATGTGACCTCGATCCACCCGTGTTGGCAGTCCGCTCACGGAGCTGTCGATCTGTGCAAACACGCGGCGAGCTGAGTAATGCACGGGCGCGCCTTACAATTTGAGCCGGGGAGTCGGGCGCAGGGAGAAGTGCACGCCGTGCCGTAATAAAGTTTACATAAACCCAGCGCGTCTTGCCTGCGGGGGGCGTCAGGTTACACCGAGTTCGTGCCTCGCCCGTTTGTCCGGCCAATGTTTTTACTGCGAATCACGGAGGTGCTATTCTGTTGCAACGACTCGCTATTTATTTGTAAACAGCTGCGCTCGCTGCGTATTTGATTTTCCTAAACATCTATATTTACTTTATTTCAACTAAGTTGAGAAACTTAGTTGAACCTACTGGAATTCCTTGTTTGTTATACAATTGTTGACCAAATCAAAACATTACACCGTAGTTCATCGACACTCCATTTCTATAAGATATAAAATACCAACTAAATCAACTACAATCGATTGAACTTACGTTAAAAGCGATTCAAGCCTAAATATAACACAAAATACAACACAGTTTACGACTGGCAATTTATACCGACACGAAATTGAGCAGCGACCCTAAGCCTAACAGGGCGAGCCTTTCCACAATCTCATTTGGGTAACATAATAACCGCGGATTTATTTCTGCCGCCCGCTCATTCGCTCTCAAATCGCGCCTAATATTCAATTTGGGCGCTCGAACCACACAAAAACTGCTCGGAGCCGGTTCATTACGCCGCGCATCTCGCCTCTTCATCCTCCTTACCTTATCTAAGCCACTCTGAATAACACTCCCTACCCCACCCCCGGCTCACCACCCGCTCACCACTTCAAGTGGAAAACTCGTAGGGCGAGGGCCGCTCAACCTTGTTTAGCATTCTCCTCGACTTCTTTATTTAATAGATGCCGAAAAAAACTCCGTTCAGAATAAATTTGCGTTTGTTCTTCGATACGCTTCAGTCGGTAGCGGCTCGAAGGTACGTTCCTTTAATTAAAGCGGCAGTGGTGCGTGTAAATTGTTATTTGAAGAGGTGAGAAATGAGTATTTCATCTGAGTCCTCGTCATTGCGAAGCCGTTGAAGTTTTTCTGTGGCGGCAGCCCTGGCGCGTCGTGTTTACGCCCGGCGGAACAACAGCCGCCCGGGGCGCCGCGACACTCTTCACAATTTATCGCCCGAGACTTTTCTTAATTGGAAGGAATGGCCACTTGTAATTATTAAGACGGCCTAAAGTGAAACAGATTGCGTAGTAGTCGTTTTCGTACTGTTTTATTTTTTTCTTTCGAGGCTTTTATGAAGTAAGTTGTAACCAGCTTTTATTGGAAACAAATGCGAATATACTGTTATGAATTTGTTGGCTTTCATATTTATAAACGAGTACTATAAATATATATTTAGTATTTTTTATACGCACTTATTGTGAAAAGAAATAATTGACGATTATAAATCATTGTTGGTGTAACAAAAAGTTTAAATGAAACTTGATGTCTACGAATGTGAAGGGATCACAGCACTGAGGAGAGGTGTGACAACAGGGATCTTTGAGAGCGACGGCAAATCTGATTATATAGATTTAAGGTCACAGCCGCTTCGTTGCGCGACGTGCACGACGTGCGTGGTCTACGACCAAACTCAGGTGGACGCTATGTTGTCAACCAGTGAACGTCAGGTGGTCGACGGGTAATCGCCTCGCTCAACCGCGCCGACCCGCCCGTAGTTGACTCCATATTGTTAGCGTAAATTAAGTAGTGTGTTAGAGGTAATCACTAGGTTTACACGTGTTTCACAATGTTTAATTTCACAAATGTAAATTGGCTCTAATAGCTGTCGCGCTTGATTTAAAAGAAAATTAAATGCGTTGTCAACTCGCAGGCAGCGATAACCAGCGGTCAGCACACGCAAGTGTGAAGCTGCGAATACCGGGCGGTCACTGAGTTGTCCTCGAGTTAAGGCGGTGCTGGGGGCCAATCGCCTAACGGAAATGCTTTGGAAAACGCTAACACTTACGATTTTATTTTGTTATTTCTAGCCGCCTGAGGTATTCAAATGCCTCGCTTTCTTTCTTTTTCTTTTGCATTGGTAATAACAATATTAAAAAAAATGAGCGTGAGGTATTCGAAAACCTAAGGCGGCTAGAAATAACAATATAAATTCGTAAGCGTTAGCGTTTCCCAAAGCATTTCTGTTAGGCGATTGGCCCCCTGGTCGGGTGCCGGGTGGGTCTAATGAGCTGTGATCTTAAGGGTTTACTGCTACCATGAAGCAACATATTAGAAAGAATAAGTCATTATTTAAATTATTAACTTATTTAATGTAAAACTAATCAGCTCGTTAATCTTGCCACTTACATAAAACACATTCATCTCCTCCATTTAGCTCGGTGCGGCGTTTATATCAGAGCTAATATTTAGTAAATCTTGTTATAAAGCCTGCATGCATATACTAAATATGTCGCTGGCTCGAGAATCTGACGGGATCATCCCACAAGACAGGGGCTCGACGATCCTCGCACGTAATTAATCATAAACGCTGTTAAACAGCTCCCGGGGTAAATAAGCTTGTTAGTGTTCCATAGATAAATTATTAATGGCAGTTTCCAACTGCGTCTTCAAGACGTCAGTGATCTTGGCACTGCAAATGATAATCTCCTCTGTAATTTTTCGAAATAAATTCCTGTAGTTTACATAGTAACTACTTGGAATAAAATTACGATTGGGGGTTATCTGCAATGCCACTTTTCTTTAAATTGCAGATGAAATGTTTACAATCAGTGGGAAGTAGGATAGCAAGGTTTAAGTTCAGAATTCGCAACAGTAGCCCTTCAAAACTTAGCAATAAACCTACATTTAGGTTAGAAAACCTACGTTTGAATCACTAGTAATGATCATCAAGTTTTGCTATTTATTCCAATTGTGAGTGGAATGAATATCGTTTGACAGCCCTGGCAGCGAGGCAAGGCAGGGTATTGCTCGTCTCAAGCTCAGTGCTGCGGCTTAGTTTCGGATAGGGCCCTATCGCATCGATTTATGCAAGCTTGATCGAGTCACCCCTCTCCCGTGCGAACAATATTCATCACGATAGCGCTGTATCGCTGCACACAATCGGGTATTAAGTTGCATATTGTTCGATATAATTTTGCGAGTAGAAACGTGAACAACTCGAGAGCCTTATTCCATTCGGTTGGCAATTTAAAATTCACCAAACCATTTTCAAACTTAGCTTATAAGGGTTTTAAGTAGAAATATATAACGTAAAACTTGACCATAGAATTTTAATATTTTTTGGTAACCTGATAGACGTGATGAGATGACGTCCTGCTGTGCGTACTACGGAAGGTCAGGGATCATTTATGACTTACTGTAACTGTTTATATAGCATAAATTACAAGTGCAAGATTAATGTTAGCTTCGATAAATTGACAATTAATTAATATAAGTAAATATACTGATTGTTGTACTATCTTGAGTAGGTATTATTACTGTTTAATGAGATAGAAGATATAAAGCATGGAATTATTAGTGGTCTAGCGACACTTGTGTAACGCCTGCGAAAGTGGGAACCAGCGA